AAATTCTATTTTATTTATACTTTTTTTCTTCTAATGAAAGTATATTTTACAATGTATATTTTAATTTTATTTTTACCTTGTGCTTTCTATAAGATTTTTATTTTAACTTTAGCATTTTAAAAAAATTATCATTTACAATATACTTTGTATGTTAAACATAAGTAGCAATAACATTTTAATAGTTGTCTATAATGTAATTTTAAAGATTTATTTGGAATTTTCTAAATTCTAAATTTTAAAAAATACATATTATTATTATTATTATTACTCCTACAACTGTCATCATCATCATCATCATCATTATTATTATTATCGAATATTATTGATACGTGTAATGAATTTTTATAAGTCATCTAAGTATGTTTTAAAAAGGAGACGTTCATGCAACATCGTGTTTATTTATCTATTTAAATTCTAACTCCAAAAGATTGTAAATATTTTAAAATTTAAATAAGTAAGAAACTCTGCCCTTTAAATTACAATACAGACAATTATTCAGAAAGTAATTGCTAGTTTGGTTTAAAATATTTTGTAAGTTAGAAAAAATTTAAAAATAATAAAGCTAAAAAAAACTTCTAGAAAGCATAGGGTTACAAATAAAAAAAGAATTTGAAATCTACCATCATAAAAAGAAAAAAAAGATATTGTATATTTAAAATATAATTCTAAAAAAAATTAAAACTTGATTTTATATGTGTCAAGTGCAAAGTTGATTGCGTATAGGATAAGTTACAAGTTAATTTGGAAGCCATATGAAATGCCACATGACAGTACGAAGCCAAGTAGAAGGTTGCATGTGTACTCACTGGTCAGATTCTCAAAATTCCGATAAGGGGTACCCCTTTGTTACATTTTCTAAAGATGGGGTGCCTTTTTGTTACAAGTAGAAGATGTGGTACCTTTTTGTTACAAGAATCCAAGTTGGGGTACCTCTCAAAAAAGCCCTATGTACTAACATGAACATCACAATTGAGTAAATGGGAAGGCGAAAGAGAACTGGCATGCATTGTAGGACAATTTTGTTCCGTGGACTGTGTTCTTTACATCATCGGTGATCACACCAGGACAGTAAATACAAAGTACTTTTTAGTTTGATGTCATGGTACAATTTTGTCGTCTTGACTCGTAAATTCGTAATGATTGTCAAATATCTTTCGCTATGCATGAGAGATGCCAAAGTGTTGCCATGATTTACTCTAAACTAAAAACTATTACAGTGGTGGTGTGGTCCCCACACCATGTTTTCTTTCTTATAAAAAAGAAACCAAAACCTCTAAAAAAAGAAAATAAAGCAAGGAAAAAGAATCCAAAGGTTCTATTCTAACAGTTAATGGCTTAAAGCTCTATTATTATTGTTGTTGTTGTTGTTGTTGTTGTTGTTGTTATTATTATTATTATTAGAGCTCTATAATAACTTGCACCTTATTTGATTTTTTCATCCCACACCTTCAATCCCGTATGATATATTGGAGTTTGTTGGACAGTCAAAAAGCATGGCTAGTAGAATGTATAATAACTTCGTTATGTATTTGGTATTCTATTTTTTTCCCTCTATGACATTCGTGTTATACAGCAATGGATGTATCTTCTGATCTTACTGAACTTGGAAGGACTCCTGTAGCAGTGATCTCAGCAGGTGTCAAATCAATATTAGATATCCCAAGAACTCTCGAGTATCTGGTTAGTATGTTTGTACACAATGAGTTGCTTAAGACTATATTGTTTTGGGTTCATCTTTTATTTCTTTACACTTTAGGAAACTCAAGGGGTATGTGTTGCAGCTTATCAAACTGATGAATTTCCTGCTTTCTTCACACAAGCCAGTGGCTGCAAGGTTCATAATTTTCATTTCATTTATTGTACCCCGTACAAAAATACTTTCTACAATCCAGTTTCATAAAGTGTAGTAAATAAACGTTGAGCTTTTTATTGGTAATTGAACATTGGAAGACAATGAAAAATATTCTTACTGTAGTGACATACTTGATAGGCACCTTGTCGGGTAGATACAGTAGAAGACTGTGCTCGGCTTATTGGCAAGCAACTTTTAACTCATTTGATTTCTCCTCTTTACTCAAGTGAAATGTGTATTAATGGTTGCACACTTTTTGTTTTTAATTATTCAATTTAACTGCAAGCAGATGCAAGCTCTAAACTTGGGCTTGAAAGTGGGATCTTAATAGCAGTGCCTATACCAAAAGAACATTCGTCTTCAGGAAGTTTAATTGAATCTGAAATTCAAAGAGCCCTTTTAGAAGCTCAGTAAGTATCAAAACCAGGTTCTTTTTATCGAAGTCATTCTATCGTTGTACTAATATACTGTGCTTGTTATATGTTCACATATTGTGTCTTGGATCTGTTATCGAAGGGACAAGAACATAATAGGGAATGCTCAAACCCCGTTCTTGCTTGCTAGAGTAAATGAACTAACTGGTGGAGCTTCTCTAGCTTCCAGTATCCTTTACATGTTTGTTTGGTTTTGCTGTTTCTTTTCCTTCCTAACAGTCATTAGAGAAGTGATAGTGACATAGTGTAGTTAACACTTTGTTTTGTTCAGGGAATTACGGAAGAAAGGGAAATGCTTAGGAAAAGAAAAGAAAGTCAATGAAACCAAACATCGTAATCGCTTTTGGTTAGACTGCACGGTGTGGAGGAGAAGGGATGGGGCGGGCTGGCTGATGTGCCACCCACATCGGACCAGGATCAGAGGGGAACACCGCCTCCTCCCCCGTGACCGGGATGGGCGGCATCCCTACCCTTGCCATCCCGTGGGGTTTTTGCTTCTTTTCCCTTTGCTTCTCGCCGTTGTCTTATTTCTTTCTTTCTTTCTTTCTTCCCCTTTAGTTTTTTTTCTTTTTAATTTTTTTCTTTTTTATTTTTATTTTTATGTTTTTCTTGGTTAATTAAATCTTAAAACAATTTAAGAAATTAATAAAATCAATGAAATGTTAATTTAATTATGTACTTTAATTTTTTTATTATATACTCCCTCCGTTCCACAAAACCCTTACCCTTTCGTTTTTTTTGAATTCCCTAAAACACTTCCACTTTCTATTAAAAAACCACTTTTACCCTTACTTTTTCATACCCTACCTATCACATCGTACTTTTTCTCTAATAACCAAACTATCACATCTTACTTTTACCCATCACATCAGGGGCAAAATTGGAAAGTCAACCAAAATTATACTTTCCTTATTTTTGCCAAAAGTCAAAAGTGGAAGGGTTTAAAGGAACGGAGGGAGTAATTTTTAATTTAATTCCTATGATGACTTTTTTAAAAATAAATATAATTTTTTTATGTGTACTTTTAAATTTAATATTAGAGGAATATTAATTTTTTATTTTTTATTTTAGTAATCTTAGTTAAAATAGATGTATAAAAAAGAATATAAAAAATGTAAAAGGGGATGGAAGAGATACACACCTTTGGGGATGATAGGGAAGAGAAAGAGAAAAACTGACATGACGCTGAGTTGGCTGGAATGGATGGAAGCCTCCACATCCCCATGGTTTTAGTAGGGAAATTGGCAAGGAAATTAGTTCTTAATACTCCCCCCTGTCCATTATCGGCTGTCCATTATGTTTCTTCCCATTTCCTAAAATGGCAACTATAATAAATGAAATGACCATTTTACCCTTCTTTAATTATGTCATTTACTACCTTAATTTATTCTCTCTAATTCGTTCTTCTTCTTCAACCCCTTCAATGTTCTTCTTCAGCCCCCACAACCCTACCAATTGACTTTTACTCTCTGTCCTTCGTTACCCCCTCCCCCCCAATTTCTTCTTGTTTTTGTTCTCCGTGGTCAACCCACCCCACCCAATTTCTTCTTCTCGCCTTCATTCTTCTTTTTCCGACGCCATTAGATCTATGAAGATTTATTTTTGTAAGAGACGACGATGATTTGGGACAAGATAGTGACATTGGAGCTCTGCTAGTGGACGTTAGAGGGAGGCGGGCGACCTTTGCAGCCGCATCCCGGTGGTCTGGAACATAGTGGTGATGAGTTTCTCCTCTAATGTTGATGGTGGCGGGTTGCTATGTAGACAGCGTCGGTGGCGTTGCTGATGTTTGCGTTGACGGTGTACTGGAGGAAGGCGTTGGGCCCAATTCACACGCCATAGGAGTAGAGAAGGAGAAAGGTGGGAGGGAAATTTTTGAAAACCAACAGCTTTTTTATCTTACATAAAAAATCTGCCAAGCCAAACTGAGAAGTTCCAACTTGGACGGAGGGAGTAACTTTTGTGTTTTGTTGTAGATAAGAAAAAGGACATGGTTCTAAACAAGAAGAGGGCAGGGGTGAGGCATGGTTGTGGGTAGGGGGGAGGCGAGGGAGAGTGTGGGGGCGATGGAAGAGGGAGGGCTGGATCAGGGGTGGGTGAAGGGTGGGGATGAGGGAGGGGGAAGGGAAGAGAAGAGTTTGCTGTTTTCTCTCCGCTTCCTCACAAAATGGAAGGAAAATCACATTTCCAATTTTACTTTACTTTTCCCTTACCTTTTCTTTTCCTTTCTAACTAAATACCAAAATTGCTTTTTCTTTTCTTTACTTTTCTTTTCCCTTTTGAGTTCCTTGAATCAAACATAGTGTAAAAGTTTCTTAGTAGTTTGTACCAGTCATGCTCTTTATCAACTATACATGCTTCGATTCAATCTATTATATTTTCTTATCAAGCTTCAGATGTTGCACTTGTTAAAAACAATGCATGTATTGGTGCTCAAGTTGCGGTCGTCTTAGCTCAGCTCCGCCACCACCGTGGATAAAATGTAAGCCATGCTCCATTTCTACTCATTGTGTTTCCATATTCCTTTGTTTTCTGAGAAACTACAATTTGATCCTCACTATTTAGCTTCATTAATTATTGGTTTTGACCTCCACCTACCTTATTTTGTTGATACATAGAATAAATAAAAATTTGTATTTATGACGATTAGTTAAAATTCATACATAACATTGAGATAAATCTGCATTCTTTGCAACTATATAGTGCATTACATAAGAATCAACCCTGCCTTAACTGATTTATGGCAATGGTGGGAAGCGTAGGATATGTTGCTCACACTTGGCGCACAAAAAAATATCTGGAATTGATTGGTTATTTGGGATGTGTACACAACGAGTATGCTGCCAGACCTCACATATATCACAACAAACCATCCTCTCACCATCATCCTCATCCCTGGTCCCACAAGGACAATCCACAACAATGCTATTCTTGTCTATCCCTTCTAACATCCCACCATAATCCAAATTTCCCCCGCCGATAAATCCCTCAAACACCAATTTGCTCCCACCTTTAATAGCCTCAAATACTAAATCGGAACCATTAGGGTAGAAGTTCAAATTCGCCACAAAATTGTTAGTCTTCAATCCCCAATACATTTCTCTGAAGTTCCTCTCCACTTCTAGCCTCAGATCGTCAAAGGTTGTGGTGTTTTGTAAAATCATACATTCATATGGCGTCACAACCCTTTCTTTATCCAACCCTAACGTCACGTTTGTTGCGTATGCCATCCTTATTGCACAGTACACAATTGAACTCTCTGACATTTTCATGAGCTTTGGAGCGTAGTATTCCTTGAGAAAGTATTTGGAGTCCAAAATAACCCTAGAGGCGGCCGGAATGGTCTCAAAAACCCCGGCTCCATTTTCATCCATTAGAATGTGCTTGTACAAGAACTGCACATCCTTCATGAGCTGAACCCTAGTGATTTTGTACTTAGGCTTCACTTTTGGTTCGTTCATGGGCACTCTAAGTCCTCCGCCCTGATGAATATCGTCATACTTTGGGAAGGCGTTAGAAATGTCCTCCAAACAGTACTCCAAGACTTTGGTGACTGGATTCAGGCACCGTCGCACTAAGTACTTTCCGACTATGTGGTTTCCCAGAGATTTTAGGACGAAATCGAGGAGACCAGTGTCACCAATGTAACTGCGAGCCGCATCTCGAACCTGTTGCCTTGAAACCCATCGGTAATCAGCTCTTTTCAAGGCTTCCACAATCACCCTTATGGCCATTTCCACTCGTTTAGGAGACCATCTGCACGTGCTGTCCACCACCAACAACCCTATATACATGAACGTGTGAGTTAGTGAGGGGAAATAAAAACATACATTTTTAGATGCGATATACATCCCATGAATATGTGTAACGAGTTATGCCCAATATACTCAGTGAATTTCATATGCCCAATATATTCATATGAAATTCACTGAGTATATTGGGCATAACTCGTTACACATATTTGCCTCAAAAGAATTATAGGTTCGGATCTAAAACATAGAGGGTGTGGGGGTGATTACCTTTTGTGTAAAGTAATTTTCACAAAAGTTGAAAGGAATAACACCATATATCTGCTTCTTCGAAATGATATTCTATGTACAGAATAGGGGTGGAGAAAAGTAGTTGACATGCCGAATAGAATAAAATGACAACCCGAAGTAGAAATTAAATTTTCAAAAGTTCCACACCGCCAAACACCTTCTTAGAATCTGGAACTTGAAGTATGGAGTCTTGAATTTGGATACTTGGAGTCTTGAATTTGGATAAATAAAATATAAAAATTAAAAAAAGTATGGCCTAACACTTTTAAGGTACGATTTAAGTACTATTAAGACCTTACCAATACACTTATCAAAATTTAATACTTCTTCGTCCCAAAAAGAATGTCAGTGTTTACTATTCAAAAATTACTACGGAGTATTCAAAATCACAGTGCACACATAATTTTGTTTGTGTCAATATCTAGTATTACTTTAAGTTCTTAAGGTCAAAGTTTGCTAATTTTTACCTAAAAAATTAAAAGCGGACAAATATTCAGAAATGGAGGTAGTATTAGTATATTCTTACTCTTGTTGTTTTTTGGCAAACGAATAAATAAACTTAGAATAGATCACCAAGGTTCCCATGACATTGCCCGGCAATGTCATGGGATGACTCGAGACAATCAACTTGTGGAGTGCAATTGAAGGGGATGGGGGGGATGTTCGGGTCGGGGCGGAGTGGGGGGGTTTACCTGGGGGTTAGGGGGGTAGGAATCGTCAATTTAACGAATGGGGCACCGCAGCGCCCTCGGGTCATCCCATGACATTGCCGGGCAATGTCATGGGAACTTTGCCGAGAATAGATTATTGTTTTGATAGTTAGTAAAAAGTTTTAGCACCTGCATGCAATATCTCTACATGTCCCAGAAGTCTTATGGTGAGAGTTATGTGTTTGATGTGATTAATTAAAGGAATAGTTCTCCGGCCGGTTTACAATGAGTAGTGTTTCATCTTCTTTTATGAGATTAGAATTTGTTCGATTTTTCAATGTGGCATAAGTACTCTAAGGCTCTCTCGGTTAGGATTGTAAAATTAGGAATTAAAAGAAACTGGAAGGAGTTTAAAAAAACTATAAAGAATCAGAAAATGTTTGGAAAAATAAAGTGCTAAAAATCATTCATTTAAATAATTACCCAAATAAATATGTAAGAAAACTAATTTTGGATAAAAAAGAATTTATTTTTATTTGCATTTGAGTATGGTGATGTGTTTTTATCATGTGTAGATACTTTTTTTTAGTTGTTGGAAAAAACAGTAAGAAATTAGAAGAAACTGGGAGTTACTGAAAATTGGAAGTCGTGGTAAAGAAAAATATAGTGTAACTCATTAACTCACGCCTAGAAGATTGGGGCGTGAGTAAATAATCAGTTCGCTCATTAACTCATTGCTACCATGTAAATAATCAGTGGCGGAGCCAGGAACTAGTTTCACGGTCGGGGGCACCAACTTAATTGCCAAAAATGACAATGCTCCTTATTATAAGTTAAACAATAAAAGCGAAAGAATAGTTCTCTCTGCGTCCAACACATGTTTGCTTTGGGGAAGGAACAAAAAAGTTACACTCTAAATATTGAACAAAAAACCAAGTAAGACAACACATTAGTCATCGTTCCTCACTATTAGAGAACAATCAAATGAATTACGGAGTATTAAAGCATAAAAATCCTTCTTCCGTCCCAAAAAAATCTCTTGTTTGAAAAAAGGTGGGTTTTAAAAATGTGTTGTTTTGGTCTTGTTTTCTAATTTCAAATTTTATATCCTACACATTATACTCTACTCTATTATACAGTAAGCACAAAATTACAAAGTATTAATCGGGATAACATTTAAATTTTAATATAACCACACCTGTAGAAATTGGACTATTGGGACCAGGCTAATTGTGGAAATTGTTGCATGGTGGCTAGCTAAGGATGAAGTGGTAGTCGAGGACAGAGAATTAGAGTCGCGATTGTGAACTGCATAGCGCTGAAGATGAAGGAACACATGGACGGGTGAATCTATTCAGCGTCGAAGGCGAAGTCCATTTTTTTAAACCTTAGCCCTAAACAGCGTCGTTTGGAGCTTTGTTTTTTAATTGATCAAAACACTGTTAGGTTAAGTTAAAAAGAAAACTATTGCTACGGAGATCATATTATTTAGAAGTATTTTTAGAAAGCAATATTGTTTTCTACTTTAGATATATTATCTCTGTGTGTGTGACGAATCGGAGAATACATAGCATTCGATCTATCATTTTAGTCTCTACTATAGCATCATCTTCCTTATTCTTTAATTGCTTATTCTTTAGTCTCCCACGCACACTCCCACCCTCGTCCATCCCATATTGCTTTCCTTCCTGCCCCACCCACTATTGCCCCCACCCCCATCGCTACCACCTACCACCCACTATCTTCGATCTCACATACACTACCACCGTCATACGCTGTTTAAGGCTAGGGTTTAAAAAAAGTGGCGGTCGAGGACAGAGAATTAGAGTCGCGATTGTGAACTCCATAGTGCTGAAAACAAAGGAATGCCTTGACGGGTGAATCTATTCACGTTGAAGGCGAAATCCATTTTTTAAACCCTAGCCCTAAACAACATCGTTTGAAGCTTTGTTTTAATTGATCAAAACACTATTAGGTTAGAGAAAACTATTGCTACGGAGATCTTATTATTTAGAAGTATTTTGAGAAAACAATATTGTTTTCTACTTTCGATATATTATCTGTGTCTGTGCGTGTGTGACGAATCGGAAAATACATAGCATCCTATCTATCATTTTAGTCTCTACTATGGTATCATCTTGCTTATTTTTTAATCGCTTATTTTTAGTCTCCCACGCTCACACCCACCCCCGTCCATCCCATACTGCTTTCCTTCCTGCCCCCACCCCCACCTCTACTATCTCCCACCGGCACCCACTACCTTCGATCCCACATACACTACCACCGTCATTCACTCCCACCTAGCTACGCACTCTGATCTCAAATGGAGGATATATTAGGGGCATTGACTTTGTTATCGAGAGTTTCGCTTTGTTATCCCGTTTAACCATTGTTGTGGTTTGATGCGAGCGTTGGGAAGTAATGGAACAATCTAGTGCTGATCGATGGCCAAATAGCGCCCCTGTGGTTTGCAAAATAGGCAGCAATACCTCCCCTATTTTCAAAACTTATGTCTAAAGTCCTTGTGGTTTCAAAACGCTGCACTCGTGCCCCTCTGATCATTTTCCGGTCATTTTTCCGGTAAAGAAGGGGAACATTGGTGCATATTTTCTAAACCATGGGGGTACTAGTGTTGATTTTTTTATTTCTCTCTTATATTTTTGTTTTTCCCCATTTTTTTCCTTTATTTGTTTCATTTATCAATAAAGGTTATTTTACAATTACTTTTATGATCTTAAAATTTAAAGTTATTTTTGTTTGAAAAAATTAACATATAATGCATCGGCATGTCTCAAATTAACAATTTTTGTTTTTTCCGAAAAAAAAGGTAATTTTTTTGAGAACTAAAAAATGATGAATAAAATAAGAAACAAAATAATACAAAAATAAAAATGATTATCCTTTTTGGACATCTCAATTTTAAGCATATTTTTAGGCGTGTTCCAAAATTGTTTTTTGTGGAAGACTCTTTTTTTCGTATTTTAATTTTTTCATTTCGTTCGTCCATATTTTTATTTTGGGTTTTCTTTTTGAACTTTCCGAAAAATTATTCTATGTAAGAAAAAGTGAATGTTTAATTTGAGATAGATGTAATGTATGTTAATTTTTTTTATTTCAAACACAAAGAATTTTAAATTTTTTTTAAACATTATAAAAAATTGAAAAGAAATTTTAAAAAAAATCTTGGAAATGGAAAAAAGAAAGAAAAACACAAATAATAAATGAAAAATAAGAAATGAGCATGAATGCCCCCTATGGTTTAGAAATTATGCGCCAATGTCCCCTCTTCGCCGCAGAATGGCCGGAAAATGATCAGAGGGGGTGTGGGTGCAATATTTTGAAACTACATAGACTTTAGAAATAAGTTTTAAAAATAGAGGGGTATTTATGCTTATTTTCTTCCAAACCGCATGGGAGCATGGAGCTATTAGGCCGCTGATTGGTTCAAGTGAATGTGACATCTGGAATAACTCCAATTTAAAACTGAGATAAATTCAATGATTAACTCAGTGGAGCTTATAATTCGAAGTAATACTAATTGGATTCGGAGTATCATCTAATTGCGAATTTTTTACATGTTTAATAAAATGTACTCCCTCCGTCCCAAATTATAATGCATGTTTACTATTCACAGAGTCAAACTTCATTCACTTTTTTTCTCTATTTTCGTTAACAATTTGATAAAATAAAATATTATTGTCACTATTAGTTTTGTAGATCTTTTGATGTAGTTTTTTAATATGTAATTTTTATTTTTTAATTCTATACCATTTGTCATATAAAATGGTTTGAAAATAATTTCAATCATACATCGTAAACCGAAACAGGTGTTATAAAATGAGACGGAGGTAGTACTTCAAAATCCATGTTTGAAATGATAAAAATGCAGTATATAATAATGTCAAATGATTCCGCTTGGTATACACGCATATTAGAGCATTTCCAAGGGATAAACTAAAAAATGAATTGGTATATGCTATTTTAGCAAAGAAACCTATCCATTTATTTAACCTCTCCAACCATGAGTACCTATTTATCCCTATATATCAATAATTATTTTTTTAAAAAAACTAAATTTATGCATTTAGATGTACTCACACTTATGTGTAGAAAACAAAATATAATTAGCTACTATTCCAAATCGGAATACAATCCCCATTTTCAAGGCAATATTCTACAATTTTTGAATTAATTTACTTAAAAATTGGTATAAGAATAATAAATAAAATTTACATTTAAAAAACTACTGTATATTGAAAGTTTTACAAAATAAGAGATCACAAAAATATTTTATTTTTTCAGATCATCAAAAAAATATACACAAACAAATAAAGCTAATCCAGCGATAGGTCCCAAAAAAATTATGATCCAATTTGAGATTGTTAGTTAAAATAGCAAGTCTGCAAGTGTGCTTGATGAATTTAGTATCATCGGCTATTTTGTGTGATTGAATTACTTAGATCAGGAAAAAATTTGAATAGACGGTTTCAATTTTCAAACGAGTTAGGAGGTGTGGAGAGCACACTCATTCAATGATATTACAAATTTATAGTAGAGTACAGGCATGGCAGCCCCCGATAGTGGGGTCGAAGAGGCAAGTTTTATGAAAATCCTTCAAATTTTAGTGAATGGAGTCCAAAACATTTAAAAATCGAACGTATGGATATACGTCCAAAATTGACCCAAAAACCGCAAGCAATATAATTCTTTGCGTGAACATTTCTTTGAGCAAACGAACATGTCTATTCATATTTTTCCATTTTTATAAATATACATACGCGGGTATGATTGAGAAATCGATTTTGAGTATTTGTTTTTGAATTAACATCTTATCTGAAAAAAGTATTTTGGTATTTTCCAAAATAAATTTGATTTGAAAGCGTAGTGCGCAATTCATTATAATCTACCAAGTCGTTAGTCTCGTTCTTCATTCACGAGATTCTTTAACGCTGCTTCGCTACATTATTCTTTCTCAAAATAAAATTATTACATGTTAATTAATCTTAACTACTAGGTCTTGGAGCAATGCTCCACATTTGACCTAACATGCGTATTAAAACAGAGATTAAATTCCATAATTGGTCCTTTATAATAGGGGGTTTCCCTATTTAGTCTTTTATTATCAAATATTATCTCAGTGGTCCTTTTATGGGTACGGTATCTTTCCACAAATAGTCCTTTTTTGATCTTCAATCATGTTGGTGTTAATTTGAGGGCTAAAAGTATAATTTCACAATGATAATACATCTTTTTTGTCATACACAATTTCAAAAGCTGTTCCGTTTGCGTCGTTTGTGAATTACGGTTGCTTTTTACTACAAGCATAGTTTACAAATGTGGTTCTTCATTGGAATCCTAGCCCACAATCATAGTCATTATTTTTGTGTTATCCGCTTAACCAATATCAGAACACATCAGTAGACATAATGTTGATGTGAAATTATACTTAAATTAACACCAACATGACAGAAGATCAAAAAAAGAATCATTTGTGGAAAGACACCATTAAAAAAAGGACTACGGGGGCAATATTTGATAATAAAAGAATAAATATGGAAACCCCCCTATTATAAAAGATCAATTATGAAATTTCCCTCTAAAACAGAATTAAAGTAATTTGGTTGAAATTTAAACAAGATAATATGAATTTCGTACTCCCTCCGTTTTGTGAACGAACATTGAAAACACAAAATTTGAGTAAGAGGTATTATCCCTTCTGTCCAAAATTAGTTACTCCGTATGTACTTTCTAAAATATCTCATTTGTCACATATTCAATGTATGTCTAGACACAAACAATTCAAACTTTGATATGTGCCGCTAAGTAATCGTCTGTGTCATCTAGACAATTAATATGTATGTGTATAGTAATTCTGTAAAAAACATGGTGTCAAATTAAAGTTGGCATGACTATAGCAGGATCCATTGGTATTACCTGGATAACAGCCACCGACACTGGTATCGTCTTTAGGGATGCGAGTCTTGAGGTGGAGCATGAAGTGGAAGGCGTCGTGGAGCGTGGCCAGAGAATGGCCCGAGAGGATTTGATACCTCGAGAGTATGACGAGCAACTCGTGTTGGTTCCGAGCGTGATGTCCCAGCAGCGTTAGCGGTATGTTTTGCAGGGTTCGGACAGCGGTTTCGTACATCTCATGGCTCACGGCGTAAGTGCCGCGGCTGAACTTGTACCCCCACCGTCCGAACCACGACTCCCCGTACCCCACCGCATACACCAACCTCAGCTCCATTCCTTTCTTCTCACTTGTGTCTTTCAAGCTCACACTCCTGCATGTACGTGGATCATCGTTGTTAGTTTCATCTCCACCAATTCAACCACCATCAATCCATGCATCATCATTTGATAAGAGAGGATTTTACTTAAACAGCACTTAAACATAATGACTTTCCCTAAATAGCATTACATGTGTTTTTTCTTCCCAATGTAGCACTTTTAGTCATTATGCATTAGTCATTATTCAAGCAAATATTCGTCATCACTGAACATTATGGACATTATTAAGTGCTATTTAGGGAATAAAATAGTTTAAGTGCTATTTAGTGTAAAAATTTCTTGATAATAATAATAAATTTAAGATAGATTGATTTATGTATATAAGTTCTTCATCCGTCTTTGTTTACATTTAACAAACCTTGACAATAAATTATAGAAAACGTATTCTTTCTCCTTCGCAAAAAGATTGCTGCAGTTTGACTTTTTTTGATCAAATTGTGGCAATCTTTCACCGCATATTATGGAAAACGCATATTTAGTTATACTGTAAATTTAATAAAATTGATTTATTTTAAAATATAGTTTTGAAATATCAAATTTTCATAATTTTAATTATTTTAAATTATATTTAATTCGTAGTCAAAGCTAAGGGTACGTCATAGCTTGACCAAAAAGTCAAAGTGTGGCAATCTTTTAGGGTATGATTGGTTGGAGGGGAGGGAAGGGGAAGGAATGGATGGGAGGGAATGAGAAGGGAAGGGAAGGATTCCCTTCACCTTGCTTGGTTGGGAGGGAAGGAAATGTTTTATTTTCAATATTTTATTTATATTTTTCATTTTTTAAACTTATTTTGTTATCTATTTTATAATTATTATCAATATTTTTTATTTAATAATTCTTTCATTTTATTTTAATTCTTTTAATTTTTTATTATTTTTATTATTTATCCTAAATTTTGATGTTTTTATGTCTTATTTAAGATATATAGACACACAAACACACACACATATACACACACATACATATTATTATTACTTACTATTATTTTATTATTATTATTATTATTATTATTATTATTTACTATTATTAATTCTTACCTTGTCTTCTATAATATTTTTATCTTTTTTATTATTTTTATTATGGGTTTTTATTTTATTGTATTATTATTTTTCTTCTTCATTTTAATTTTAAATATTTTATATTTACTTTTTTATTTTTATTTATTTTATTAGTATGCATTTTTGTTATTACTAATTTTTTGTTATACTATAATGATTTATTTTATTTTCTTATTATTTATTTAGTTGTTTTGGCATTACTTATTAATTACTACCTCCATCCCATTTTAAATTGCATGTTTGCCTATTTTCTCCGTCCCAAAATAAGTTGTCTGTTGCATGTTAGTTGTTTTCGTAAACTTTTAAAAATAAAATACCTAAACTACCTTTAAAATAAGTCAATCTTCTCCACATTATATTCTCATTCATCATCATCCCTCTTAAAAAGTATTGACAATTTCGGAAAATCAGCTCTATTTTTAATTTTTCTTAAATATGCCCAAAAGTCAAAACGGGCAATTTAAAACGGGACGGAGGGAATATTACTACTATTTATTTATGAGTAAATTTCATAAAAAGTCCCTAGTTATAAGTCATTTTACATTTTTATTCCCTACATATTAAATATCACTAATTTAGTCCCCAATTATTATAACATTTTTCACGAATGGTCCTTTGTTAACGTTTCCGTTAAGAACATGGATAAAAAATTTTATTCACACTTCTCTCTCCTCAATTAAGCTTCGTCTCTCCTCTCGTACTCCTTTCCAAATTTGTCGCTAAGTTTGAAGCTCTAAACCCAAACTCAAATGATCACTCCTTTCTCAATTGTTAGTCTTTCTAGTGGAACCTAAAAACAAAACCAATAACCTTTATGGATGAGTTTATCGGTTAGTTTCGAGAAATTGCAAAGAAAATAAATCTTGAAATTCATCCATGAAGGTTACTGGTTTTAATTTTGGGTTCCACCAGGAAGACAAGCAATTGAGAGAAGAGTGATGATTTCGATTTTGGGTTCAAAGTTTCAAACTCAGCGACGGGTTTGACAAATGAGTGTGAGGGAGGAAACTTAATAAGGAGAGAAATGAGTGTGAGGGAGGAAACTTAATTAAGGGACTAAATATGTAAAACGAACTGTAACTATGGACCTTTTATGGAATTTACTCTTTATTTATTTTAATTTTAATTTTATTTTACTTTTGTTATTTATAAGGTGAAAAAAATTGACCGAAGAAGAAGAGCATGGCGGAAAGAAAGGAGATTCCGTCTGGTTTGGAGGGATTGATTTGGAGGGGATAAGGGGAATTGAAGCTAAAATTTAGGATCCGTTTCCTTCATGTTTTTAAACCAAACAAGGGAGGGATTCAGATTCCCTCCCCTCCCCTTCCCTCCAACCAAACCAAACGGAGAGAGTATTTAATTTAGTGAAATTGTAAATACATTGCTTATACATTCACTCCGCCTCTGGTCTTGAGAGTACTTTTTCTATTTAACTAAAACTATTTAAAATATCGGCACGGTTCTAGTGACACCGGATCGGAGAACGGTGCCACTCCGGTGTCACTGCCTTTTTCGGGCACCTCCGGTGCTCCATTCGAAAAATTGATGCTTCCTACCTCCTCTAACCCACCCCCTAAACCCCCCACCCCACCCTAACCCTGCCAAGCCCCCCACAAAATGTGTGGCTATTTGTTGGGGTTTTACGGCGGGGTTGGGGTGCGGTGGTGGGGTAGGGTGGGGGGTTTGGGGGTGGATTTGGGGGTAAGAATCGTCAATTTTATGAACGGAGCACCGGATGTGCCCCAAAAAGAAGTGGCACCGGAGTGGCAGCGTTCTCTGGTGTCACTAGAACCGGGCCGTTGAAATATTTGCACTAAATAGCACTAAAACTTAAGTCATTTATCTAAATAGCACTTAAATTGTTTTATTCCCTAAATAGCACTAAATAATGTACAGTGATGACAAATATTTGCTTGAATAATGACTAAAAGCGCTACATTGAGAAGAAAAACACACGTGGTGCTATTTAGAAAAAGTCAATATGTTTTAGTGTTATTTAAATAAATTCCTTAAACTATTTTTCAATTCAACTTATTTGACTATACGTGTAAAAATCAAACTAAATTTTATAGATTGAGAGATCTCTATACTCCGGAGTTCATGAAAAAGGGTAAGGAATACAAATCTCGCGGTGTTAAGGAATAAGAAGTGGAAATAAATTTAACAAAAAGCTACCAAAAAAAAAAAAACCACCAGGTTTAATATGATATTGACGGTAATTATTTCACACATATGATATGATGAGTATGTTTTAGTGTTATTTTTACTGCAAATATTTCTTATTAGTGCGGTACAAAGAATAAGAATCAGTATATGTCTATGGAAAATAGAAATGAACCTTGCATGGAGTGCGGTGCACAAGCGGTCCCAGAAGTCCATGATGTGATGGCCGGCCAAGTTCGAACCGCCCTCCAAACCATTAATGCGTAGCAAGTGGCCGTAGCCGTTGCAGTGGAAAACGCCGTGCATCGTGTGCCCTTCCAGCTCGTCAGTCATCATCATCATCACCGCGTTCGACGGCGGCGAATCCTGGGCGGCGCCGCTGCTTTGCAGCTGCTGGCAGAAGCTGAAACACGCCGCCACGGTGTCCCTTGACGGGAACACGAAATGGTATTTCTTGTTGCAGATCAGATGGTCACCCCATCCTATATATATATTCATCAACAATTATATACTCCCTCCGTCCCAAAAAGTCTTTCCTGTTTCATTTTTTACGCATCCCAAAAAACATTTCTATCCCGCCTTGAATGCCAAAAAAACTTTTAAAATAACTTCTACCCACAATAAAGAAGAAATATTGTAAATTTTAGGCATTTTAGATGTCGGTAGAAGTGTTTTATGGGATGCTCAAAAAATGAAACAAGAAAGACTTTTTGGGACGGAGGGAGTATATATTTATTGTACTATGAATGTTATACTTGGAAAGTCAACACGAAAATATCTTTCTCTCAAATTTCCTAAAAGTGAGTATGGGAGGAACATCTATTTGGGACGGATCCAAGAATGTGTGTCATTTACTAATTTCTTTTTTCTGTGAAAACTTTGGGACGGACAACAAACAAAAGTAAGATTTTTATTTTGATCGTGTAAATAGTAAACATGCAAGTGAAATCGCACTAAATATGATTAAAACATAAGTCATTTCCCAATGTAGCACTTAAACTTTTTTATTCCCTAAATAGGACTTAATAATATCTAGTGGAAGGATTAATGTCCAGTAATGATATACATTTACTAAAATAATGACTAATTGATAATGACCAAGGGTCCTACATTGAGAAATTAAAACATATGGTCCTATATTAGAAAAGTCATTATATTTTAGTCCTATTTAGGTAAATTTCTCAACATGTAACCTAAATTGAAATGAAGGGATAACACTTTTTATTAACACTAAACAAAGATTTTATTTTATTAATATAGCTGTACGTACTCCCTTCTTTCCATAATTATCGTTCTTCCTTCTTTTTTTAATTTGGGTTGTGTCAAATTTTCTTCCTTTTTCTCCTTTCATTTTAAGAAAGAAATATGCGGTGAATAATAATTTTCTTTCTTTAAACGAACATCAACAACTACCTACATTTTTCTTTATTAAAAATTATGCCAAGTCAAAAACGGAAGATAATTTAAGGATGAAGAGAGTAACTTTTATTTAATCGATGATAAACAAAATCGTCTGATTTTACTACACAAAACAACACTAACAATTCAGTTGGATCCCACAAATATACTGAAAGGAAGCTAAAGGAGATTGTTTGTACCTATGTATTGGCAATGCTTGCACTTGGGGTTGGGAGACAGCTCAACCGGTTCCTCAATGACGAAGAGGAAGACGTGGGACGGAGGGTGGCGGTGAAGTTCGAGCTGGAACGACCAGCTCCGCATCGCCCCGCACAGTCCCACCTCCGGCTTTGCGTACTCCAACAATGCCCTAACGTTCTCTTCAAAGCTATGGCTGTCGAAGTGGCCCGGACAACCGTACTCCCCGAACCTCTTGAACTTGTACACCATTCTCTCCCCTCTCATCACCTTCCTCTTCTTACACCCTTCGGCGTCCACCCCGCCCGATGACATCATCGTCGTTCCCACATCGAAAAGATCAAAGAACGAATGATTCATTCAATATATATATATGTATGTGTTTCTTGGTTGTGTGTTTGTATATATTTATGCACTTGTAAAATATATAGGTCACACTTATGTTGCCATTGGAGACTAAATTCTGATTATTCTCATCATCATATGCATGATATGTTTTGAAAACCTTCCACCACGAAATTGCATGCACCAACGTGAAGTCCTTTGAATAATAAATAATTGGCCATGCTTTCCACCCATCCAATCTATTCACCATTTCAATTCTTTTTGTCTCCCGGCAATTTTTGTGGTCAGTTATATCATGCTTGTAACTAGGCTTTTCTCACACTCTCCTATACTCCCTCCCTTATCAAAAACACTTCCTCTTTTATTTTTTTCACTTCCAACAAAACACTTTCCCTTTCTATTAAAAAACCACTTTTACCCTTACTTTTTCATACCCTACCTATCACATCATTCTTTTTCTCTAATAATAAATCCATCACATCTTACTTTTACCCATCACATCAGGGGTAAAATTGGAAGTCAACTATAATTTTACACTTCCTTATTTTACCTTATAGTCAAAGTGAGAAGGCTTTTTCCAAACGGATAGAGTATTAAATTTAAAAAATTAAAAAAAAACCAAGAGTGCGCGTGGTGTCCCAAACCAAGTGTTGGGCTTGCAATTGTTAGGCAGGCCCGCCCAATCATTTTAGGAGGCCCTGTATAAATAAGTAACTTAAGGCTTTGAGATAGTTAAAAAGAAATAATTCTACAAAAAAAATTGAATCATTATTTAAGATGCAAAAATCACCTATCAAATTAATTTAACACACTTAGATAAGTTTTCAAACGATGCTAAATTAAAATATTGGTGTAAAAAAACACAATTGAGATATTTTGATTTGGCTTTAAATTTTGATATTTATAAATTTTATGAATTCTTTGTTTGTCACTTGCATTTCTATTTACAAATGAAATTGTAATATCTACAACGTAAAAACTGAAAGAATGCAACAAAAATAGTTTTTAGCGCATAAAAATATAGTGCCAAAACAATACCGAGTAGTCTAAAAGTGTAGTAAAACAATGAAACAGATCGAAACAGGTTAAAAAGAGTTGCAATGAAAATCAATTGGGGTAATTAATGGTTGATCATTGAAAAAATTAAAAAAGAATAAAAATTTGAAAGTATAAATCATGCGATCGAGGAGTGCCATTGAAAAAAAAATCAATTGAATTAGAAAAAAATACTAAAGCATAAAAATCGAGATCTCACCACTCCAGAGAAGAACAAATTGAGGAGTCAGACTAGATATATGTTGAGATACAAAACTATAGAGATGTGAAAATGAGCACGACATATTAAAAACGGAGGAACGTCAATTTAGCACTCAAGCCGAGGAACGTTGCTTTCGACTAGGGGAGGCGCGGAGGAACCGATGAGGCAAAAAAACAGGATGCTCCTTTGTTTTTAATTATTGGGCTTGAGTAATAAAATAAATCTAGTATTGGTCTAACGATAAAATATAAAATGAGCCTGTATATTTTGGAGGCCCGGGGAACCTAGTGCACTTGCTTATGGGCATGTCTATTGTTGGGGCCGAACACGGTATGATTCCGGTTCTGTCACGGATTTCGTTGCTGCCTCCATAGGGGATTGTTATCGACGCCAGATTTCCCGGTTCCAGAACTGTGGATTTCGGGACCGATTCCTGGCTGGTTCAGCGGTTCTAATTTTTTTTATATGATTGAGATGTTAATCAAATTTATAAATTTTTATAAATTCTAACTTCTAAGAATGCAGTTGTTGTTTAAGTTCTAAGCTTTTGAAAAAAATCGTATAAAATCACACAAAAAAAGTTGGTCTGACTGGTTCGACCAGCCGGTTCTTACCGGTTCGAACTGGTTTGAAGCTGATTGCGGTCTAAAAAAAGATGTTTGAAGCTGATTGCAGTCGTCTAATAATTTCTCTCTTAATTGTTTTTCTTGAAAAACCTCTTGTTTGAGATTTTAGTTCGGTTTGACAATATTCAATAAATCTAAGTTTTCTAAAAAACATGAATGGTAAATTTTCTTCACAGATCATTTCAGCCATTTTTTACTTATTTTGCTCATCGCTATATGAAAAAAAGCCACCCTTACCCTTATTTGCCAAAGGAGAAAGTTCAATTTGTACTTCTCCCTTCTTTGCCATCATTTTGGCGTACTCCATGAGGTGCCTCACATTGAGGTGTTTGGTCGGTCCACCATAAATGGAAACTTCTGGGGGTATATTTTCATGGTTACCCCACAATGTTTACAAGTTCGAATAACCACGCTATTTTTTTGTATCTTTATGAAAGTGGGATACAAATAAACTAGATTTATATTTTTTACATTTCCTCGGAACTTCAGAGGTCTCGGGCTCACCTGTCTCCTCGTCCCTCTCGGTAGGATCGTTGCTATCGGGTGTTGGTTCCTCGACCTCTTCAACATCCTCAAATATATTTTCACGAGTTTGAAGATTGAAATCATTCCTACCTCCAATGCTGCCCATGAATTGAGCGAAATCTTGATCACTCATAGTGTCGCCTATGAACTGCTCGGAGATTGTAGGAAAGGACGAAAGAGAGTGTCTCCCTTGAGAAGCACGTGAGCTTGAACCTTCAGATGTGGCGTGGATTTGCCTCGGTTAGAACATTCACGGTTCACAACGCCCATATCTACATACCTTGTACCAGACTCTGATCCCTCAACATTTTAATATTTTTCTATATTGATAAAAATAAGAAAATATATTAGATTATACTCTCTAGGTCCCATATCTTTCTTCTCACTTTCCTTTTTACACCATCTCATTTGATTTTTCCCGTTTCCTAAAATGGAAATAAAACACATCTAAACTTACCATTCTACCCTTACTTTTCTTCCCCTCTCTCTCCCCACCCCTTTTTCTTTTTCTTTCTTTCTCCCGTCAGTCTCAGCCACCCATTTCCCTTCTCATATTTCTTCCTCCCCAACTCTCCTTCTCCATATTCTTCTTTCATGCCACCTCCCCCTTCTCCTCTTCCTCCTCCTCCTCCTCCTCTTCTTCTTCTTCTTCTTCTTCTTCCCCAACACCCCTTCCCATGTTTCTTCTTTAGCATCACACCTCCCCCCCACACGTCTTCTTCTTCTCCTTCTTTCAACCACAACCCACCCCTTTTTATGGAAACACGTGTCAATTCTGGTATATCCAAGCCCAAAATATATATAATCACCACTCTTGATGATAATACCCCTCCTACTATAGATCGAGCTTAGCACCTATAACCAAGGCTCCACAAATATATTTTTTGCAAGGTTATGGATGAAGAATTTATAACTTTGAATGAATAACATGCTTGGGATTTGGTACCATCGTTGAAAAATCACACTCCAATTTGTTGTAAGCGGGTATGTATATTGCATTAAACAAAACGTTGATGGATTTGTTTCATGATATAAAGATCGTCAGGCCAAAATGTGACATTGATTACAAGGAGACATTCAGTCCTGTTGTCAAGTAGCAAAGAATACACATTTTTATCTCCTTGGCTCTTCAGCATGATTGCCCTATTGATCACATGGATGTTAGTAAGAGGAATTTACGTAAATAGCACTAAAACATAATGACTTTCTCTAAATAGCATCACATATATTTTTTCCCCAATCTAACACTTTTAGTCATTTTCAATTAATCATTACTCAAGTAAATATTGGTCATCACTAGACATTATATGAAGTGCTATTTAGAGAATAAAACAATTTAAGTGCTATTTAGGGAAATCACTTAAGTTTTAGTGCTATTTAGTGTAAATATTTCTGTTAGTAATGCCTCTCTACATGGCACGGTGGACAAAGAAATTTGTGTGGAGCAATCACCAGATAACATAAACCTACAACGACCACAATATGTTTGCATGTTGTGGAACTTTAAAGATTCTTCATATAGTGGATCTTCGTCTGGAGTGTCTTAGAGTGTCCGTCTATGTGTGCAAAGTTGGTTACTGTCTCTTATACGATTTTGTGTTTCAGTTTGTGTGTGTCTCTTATTTCGTCATTTGCTGTGTTTAAACAATTGCGTCAAGCCTCGTTTAAGAGGATGCAGACGCTCCGGGTGCAGGCACATACAGCCCTCCACTAGATCATAGTAAAGTTCATACAGATCAACAACAATATGTCTGATAAGGTTTTGACTGAATAAGCTTACTATAGACCTCGAGTGATCAACTCTGTTGCACTCGTCTCCCTGGCTTGTTACACCCTCTCTAGGTATCCTCCAAGGACGTGTAGAACAGCCTTATATCCAGGTCAACTCAATACTCAACTCCTGGAAGTTCTTGCCGATACATAATCATGAATCATATGCAGCTTGTATAGGAATCAGATGAACAATATCATGATATGTACCACACACGCTAAGATTATGAATTGTGCGTGAACTCGTGTATCTTCTCTCTTTTTTTCTCTCTGTATCTGCTTGAGGCCTCGATATGTGTTTTTATATGTATCCGCAAACCCTGACCTTCTGGGAATATACCTCTCTTATGCGCTACAGTCCAAGATCCGTAAACCACGGTGGTTCAGCGAGTTTCTTCAAATTTCACAGAGTCGTGTAGTGCAGGAAGTTTGTCGCCGATCCATCTCTAGTTGAGTCCTCGTCTTGTAGTCGTGCAGTGTCCTTGTTACTCCAGGTGTGTAGTGCGTACAAGATGGATGACCAATGCTATAACACCTACAAAGACACTGAACTACCCTAGTGCTTGTGCGTTGTCAAAAATACTGCCAACAATTAACAACATCTAACAAGAGATTACACAATGACGTCCCTAACAGTGGAAGCCAGAGATATTTGTTTGTCATAAGTTCGAAGCTACTTTTTATTGATTATCTTTTTATTTCATTAATTTTTTTATGGTTTTAGTTGTTTTTCTCATTTTCATTAGCTTTTATACCTATTTGTTTTATTTTTTCTAATGTAAGATTAAGCTTTAGAAAAGAGAAAGAGAAATGATGGAGGCAAATANAGTCGTGTAGTGCAGGAAGTTTGTCGCCGATCCATCTCTAGTTGAGTCCTCGTCTTGTAGTCGTGCAGTGTCCTTGTTACTCCAGGTGTGTAGTGCGTACAAGATGGATGACCAATGCTATAACACCTACAAAGACACTGAACTACCCTAGTGCTTGTGCGTTGTCAAAAATACTGCCAACAATTAACAACATCTAACAAGAGATTACACAATGACGTCCCTAACAATCTCCCCCTTTGGCAATTTTTGACAAACACAAGCACACAGACACTCAGCCGGTCAGAACCTCTTTTCCCCCTTTTGGAAAAAAAATGCCAAAGGCAGGTGAACTATTTTATTGAAATTGTAGAGAAGAGTAACATTCTGAAACCGGGTGCAAGAGTGTGTACAAAAAAAAGATTATCCAACTTGCACAACAACCTGAGTAAACAAAGAGAACAACCAATGAAGCATAATATCTTGGGAAAGCATAACCACCAAATGCAGAATTGTGTTGAGCAACAAAGCAAACGATCCAGTAAGCAACCATTCAGTATCCAGACCAAAAAAAACAGGGACAGAACAATCCCTATAACATCACCAAAGTCTTCAAAAAACAGCACAAATGTTTTTCTGAAATTCAAAGCAAGAATTAATCATCAGTAGTATCAAACTTGTGGAGCTCAGCTTCAAAGTCTGAATCCTCATCTGCAAAATTATCATTCCCTTCACTTTGCTCCCCCCTGAGTAGCATCATCTTCTACTGATGTATCTTCCTGGGACTCCTCCCCCTGAGACTGTGCAGCTGAACCTGGTTTTGTATCCAAAGAAGATAGTATGATGGCCAATTTCTTCTTCTTTACTTCAGCTTCTTTGATCAGTTCTTTGTGTCGATCGATTTGTTCCTGAAGCAGTTGAATTTCAGTTCTGAGAAATGCAGTTTGAGAGAATCCTGATCCAAGAAAGGCAGTAGCAGTCCTCTGGGTTTCACCCGTCACCATATCATTGTGATGCCTCCCCTCAAAATGCCTCATGTCCACCTGCAACAGAGGAGGTGCTGGCTCGTCTTCATCTGCAACATTTAGTCCCTGTGACTTAAGATATTGGAAAATAAGCAGTGGATATGGAAGCCCATTGGAGTTGAATTTAGCTCTCTCAGATGCAAAGTTTAAGATCTGGTCATAGATGATTTTTCCCAGATTAAATGGGATTCCATGTTTAACCTTGTAAATAAGAGTGGCCATGCAAAGAGGTACTGTGTTCATATGAGTGGTGGGAAGCCAGTGGTAAGCAGCAACTCGGAAGAGGATTGCATAGGAACTCTTTAAGATAGAAGATGGGACTTTGGACTTTGAGGACTGAGATATTCGCTCACCATTGGTTAGGTCTGTTCAGACTTGGCGTTCATTCACATTTTTCTCTGATGTGACTGACTGTGTGTGCAAAAACTTGTTGATTTTAACTGGAGACAGGTCATAACTCTTGCCTCTCACAAATACTTTATGAAAGGAAGGGTCGGAGAATGTGTTGCAGCTCTCATTCAAATTACAATAAAACTCCTGGATTACTCTTCTCACATATGAACCAGGTATGGTGACAGATTTGAACAGGTGGGATTGTTTCAACAGAGGAATGAGATTGGTCTTAGTTTCAAAATCATCAACATCTATGCTTCTTTGGGGCAGAATGGATTTCTTTGCAATTTCAGACATAAATGAACTTGCAATTGATGAGATAAAGACCTGATTAGGAAACTTCCCTAGTTTTGGTGAATTCTCAGCATCCGCATCTTTCATTTTGCTACTCTGACTTCTGGTGGTAAGCCTTTTTGTAGCGGGTGTCCTTTTCAGCCTTTTTGACCCTTCTTCAAGTTCATCCTTGGATTTCCCTTTCCTTTTCATCCCTTTTTCTGGAGTTGGTCTTTCTTGAGTTTCTTCCGCCTTTTCTGTCTCTTGGTCTTCTTTAGCCTTTTGACGAAGGGACCATCTGTATCCAGAATGCTTCACCTTTTTCTTCTTGAATACTGGAGATTTGGGTTGTGAGTCTTCAAACGGTACATCTGAACATGCAATGAGTGGTTCATCATCTACCAGATCTGGGATTTCCTTTTCTTGCACCGGATCATCTTCTTCCTCCCGTTGCATGTCATTTTGCTGTTGCGCAGGTGTATCCTTCAGATACAATATATCTGAAATTTCAGCCAAGGGATGTAGCAGAACATCATCTTCAACCTCTTTTCTTCCGTCAGGACCTTCAGATTTCTCATCAGCGTGCTGTTCCTCTGAATTTCCCAGAGGAGGATTTGGGGAAATTTCTTCTTCATCACTTCTTGTCCACAGCTCCTTGTTGTGACATGGATTTTTGGTGTTCCGTTTTGGAAGAGCAATCTTGGTCCTCACCATTGTTGTTAGATGTGATGAGATGCTTTGAGGCTGATCTTGATATTTGGTAGGTTAAATGCTTTGATGAAGAGAAGAAAAAACAACTAGAGATGCGTATCTTAGCAAGTGACGCTTCGATGCCTGAGCTCCTCTTCCAAATAATGATTACGATTTGTAGCGAATCACCACTCCCCTTCTTTTCTCAGCAGTTAATGATGTATTGAGCACATTAGCTGACACTTTGTGCTCAACGCCATTTTGCATGTCTTATTGGAATGGTGCACACAGACCCAAACTGGATCTGAGAGTTTCAAATCTTTCTCCATCTAAAGCTTTTGTAAATATATCTGCTAACTGGTGCTCAGTGGGAACATATTCAAGAGTGACAATTTTTCCTTCAACTAACTCTCGAATAAAGTGATGTTTGATATCAATGTGTTTGGTGCGAGAGTGTAGCACAAGATTTTTTGAGATATTGATGGCACTTGTGTTGTCGCAGTAAAGAGGAATAGTATCGTGCTTAATTCCATAGTCGGTTAACATTGATTTCATCCACAAGAGTTGTGCACAACAGCTGCCTGCAGCAATGTATTCAGCTTCTGCTGTGGAGAGAGAAACAGAATTTTGCTTTTTGCTAAACCATGCAACCAGATTTCCTGCTAGATAAAAACATCCTCCTGAAGTGCTTTTGCGATCATCAATGTTACCAGCCCAGTCTGCGTCACTATATGCTAGAAGATGTGCTGGAGCACCTTTAGAGTACCATATCCCCATGTTGTGCGTGCCTTTGACATACTTCAGTATTCTCTTCACAGCCTTTAGATGTGATTCTTTAGGTTTAGCCTGATACCTTGCACACAACCCCACACTGTAGCATATGTCTGGCCTGCTTGCAGTAAGGTATAAGAGACTTCCAATGATCCCTCTGTAATAGGTAGCATCAATGTCTTTTCCGTCATCGTCTCTACTGATCTTCTCATGTGTTGGACAAGGTGTTCTAGCACTTTTGCTGTTATTCATTTCAAGCTTCTTCAGCATATTCTGTGCATATTTGGTTTGTGAAATGAATATACCCTCATTTGTTTGTTTGACTTGTAGTCCCAGAAAGTAAGTCAGTTCTCCAATCATGCTCATCTCGAATTCTTTTTCCATAACTTTTACAAAGTTTTCAACATGCGTATGTGACGTTGATCCGAAAATGATATCATCAACATATATCTGTGCTACAAGGATATCATTATTGTATCTGATGTAGAACATTGTGTTGTCAGCTCCACCTCTAGCATAGCCTTGGGCAACCAGATATGATGTTAACCTCTCGTACCAGGCCCTTGGAGCCTGTTTTAGGCCGTAGAGTGCCTTTCGCTGTTTGTACACATGTGTTGGATGCATTGTGTCTTCAAATCCCTTTGGCTGTGACACATAAACCTCCTCTTTGAGATACCCATTTAAGAAGGCTGTCTTTACATCCATCTGATATAACTTCATATTCCATGCACAAGCCATACTGATAAGTATTCGGATAGACTCCAGTCTGGCTACTGGTGCAAAAGTCTCTTCAAAATCGACCCCTTCCACTTGAGTATAGCCTTGTGCCACTAGTCTGGCTTTGTTGCGAATTACTTTGCCATCTTCATCAGTCTTGTTTCGATAAATCCATTTTGTACCAATGATGTTTACGCCCTCCGGTTTTGGTACCAACTCCCATACCTGATTTCGTTCAAACTGCCCCAGCTCTTCTTGCATGGCATTTATCCAGGCTTCATCTGTCAATGCCTCCTTCACATTTTTTGGTTCAATTGAGGAAGTATAGAACGCATTGATCATTTCAACAAAATCAATCTTCTTTTTCTGGGTGCGCATGCCTTCTTGTGGATCTCCGATGATATTTTCAATGGGATGGCTTTTCTAGATATGTGTGGGCACTCTAAGTTCTTCAGGTGAACTTGTTTGATGCTCTATGTTTCTTTGCTCCTCTGAATCTGATTGTGTAGTGATATCTTCCACCTGCTGTTCAGTAAGTGTTTCATCATCTTTTCTGTCATTCAGATTTCTAGATATGGTCATGTCATCTACAATGACATTAATTGACTCCATTATTGTTCTGGTGCGTTTGTTGTATACTCTGAATGCCTTACTGTTCGGTGAGTATCCTACGAATATGGCTTCATCACTCTTAGCATCAAACTTACTCCTGTGCTCTCGATCCCGAAGTACATAGCATTTTGCTCCAAAGATGTGAAAATGTGCAACATTTGGTGTCCTTCCTTTCCATAGTTCATATGGTGTTGCTTGTGTTCCACTCCTTATATAGACACGGTTTATTGTGTAGCATTATGTGTGAACAGCCTCAGCCTATAGACTTTCAGGTAATCGTTGCGTGTGAAGCATCGTTCTGGCCATCTCTTGAACATGTCTGTTTTTCTGTTCTGCTACTCCATTTTGCTGTGGAGTTTTTGGCGCTGAAAACTCATGAGCGATGCCTTGACTGTCACAGTATTCACTGAAAGGTTGGCTGTCAAACTCTCCTCCGTGATCACTTCTGACTCGTATCACCCGCTTTATTTTCGACTGCTTTTCATTCTGTATTTTGTTGCAGAGTGAGATAAAAGCTTCCAGTGCATCATCCTTATGTTTCAAGAAGCTCACCCATGTGTATCTGGTAAGATCATCAACCACCATGAGCACGAATCTCTTACCTCCCATGCTTTCGGTTTTCATAGGACCAAACAGATCTATATGCAACAACTCCAGTGGATACTTTGTTGATTGAAAGGTTTTAACAGGGTGAGTTTTCTGTATCTGTTTCCCTTTTTGGCACGGTCCGCAAACTTCTTCCTCTGTTCTGATTATCTTTGGTAATCCTCTGACTGCTCCTGAATTTGATAGCGTGACCAGGTCTTTGTAGTTGAGATGCCCAAGACGATAGTGCCAGAGCTTTGCATCCTTTTCACTTGCAGAGAAGCACAGTACATTTGGTGTTACTTTGTAACAGTTATCTGCAGTTCTATCACCTTCAAGCACAACCTGCTTGCTCTTATCTCTCACTTTACATTTTTGCTGTGTGAAAACTGCTTCGAGTCCTTGATCACATATCTGACTAATGCTTAGCAGATTCACCTGTAATCCTTGAACTAGCCACACATTTTTAATAGGTGGCAGTCCTGTTACGTTGAGTGTACCGCTGCCTACTATTTTACCCTGTGCTCCACCACCAAATCTGACATTTCCTTGTTCATTGGGTTTCAGATCCATAAGATTTTCTTTGTCACCTGTCATATGATGAGAACAACCACTGTCAAGAAGCCACTGATCTGGAGTAACCCTATAACAAGTATTTGCGACCATGGCATATTGTTTGGGTATCCAAATCTGTTTGAATTTCTTCTTTGAAGTGACCTGCTGACTCCATTCCTTGATGCACTGACGTTTTATGTGTCCCCATTCTCTACATCTGTAGCATCTGTAGGAGGTGTAGTGATCGTTATGAGTGCCATTCAGAAGACTTCTTTTGACTTGATATTCCGGAGGTGCTCTCTCAAGTGCTTTGACAAACTTAATCTCTTGAGATTTTGAGGTACTTCCTGTGTTGGTAAAACCAATACATGTCATATCTCCTGGAGGCTTTGCCATAAGTGAATGATGATCCAGCACCTCAGCTCCTGCCACCTTAATCCACTTCTGATAGGACTTCAGTTGATTAATTTCATAGCGCAAGTTTGAGTTTTCTCCTTCCAGTTTGGTGATCTTGTGCTTTGATTCTTCAATCTTCTGCTTAAGTGCTTCCATTTCAGAGAGTAACCTGTTCTTGTCTGCCACATTCCGTTTGTTCACCATCAGCAGTTCTGCCCACTTCTCTTGTAGATCTTCAAGTTGTTCAGCAAGACTGTTTTCCAAATCTGAGTTTTCACAGGCAATGAAGGCACAATTTTGCTCACCGTGATCCCCAAGCTCATCTACTTCTTCATCACTCCAGGTTGCGGTAAACGCCTGTCTCTTTTTCTTCAGGTTGTTTGTGCATTCAGACTGAATATGCCCATATCCACTGCACTCAAAGCATTGTGGTCCCTTTTTCTTCACGGAAGTGACATTGTCTGGATATTTAACTTCTCTGTGCTTGGTATCTTTCTGAAAAGGTCCCTTTGATGTTCCCTCCATTCGTTGATTTCCTTTCTTCTGCATCCATTGTTTTTTGAACTGGCGTGTGAAGAGTGACAGTTGTTTCTGAAAGTCTTCATCTAGTGACAGATCATGTTCACTGTCATCTTCTGCCTCTGTGGTGGAGAAAGCAATTTGTTTATCTGGCTTCCGACGCTTACCGTCTTCCATCATGTCAAGCTCAATTGACTCCAATATTCCCATGAGTGCATCAAGAGTCATATTTTTTATGTTGTGAGGCCTTCTGATTGCTTTGACATCCATGTCATATTCTTTTGGCAATGATCGCAATACCTTGAGCACAAGCTTGTTTTCAGGAATGGATTCATTAAGACGTGCAGCCTGATTTGCGATATCTCTCACTCTACCATGAAATTCTGTTATTTTTTCTTTATCGTCCATGCGTAAATTCTCGTATTGCGTCATGAGAATTTGATACTTGGCCGTTTTTACTTCCTCATCTCCTTCATGAGTAACTTCGAGAATATCCCAAGCTTCCTTGGCATTGTCACAGTTTGAGATAAGTTTGTACTGAGTAGAGTCAACTGCTCCGAAAATTGCATTCAGGGCTTTGTCGTTGAACTCTGCTGCAATGGCTTCTGTTCTGCTGTACTCTTCAAATGGCTTAATAGTTGATGTGGTCAGATCTTCTGAGTATTTTCGTGGTTCTGTCCAACCTGTCTCCACGCTTCTCCATACACCACCTCCTAGAGATTTAAGGAAAGCTCTCATTCGGCCTTTCCAAAAATTATAGTTATGACCACGTAGCAGTGGTGGCCTCTGAACATTTGCACCCTCTTCCATATCTCCCATGATGTGATCAACAGCTAGTGACTTAAGCTGTTCCGGCTCTGATACCAATTGAAATTTCTAAGAAGTATATCACCTAGAAGCAGACCTCACAGAATCTCACAGGCAGATACACACGTTTCAACCAATGACAGAGAATATGCTAAAACACAAAGTCAAACACACACAGAGAATAAAGCAGTAAACGACACAAATTTGTTAACGCAGTTCGGAGCAAATTCTCCTACGTCTGCGAGGCCCACGTCCGTGTAACAGCCCTCCACTAGATCATAGTAAAGTTCATACAGATCAACAACAATATGTCTGATAAGGTTTTGACTGAATAAGCTTACTATAGACCTCGAGTGATCAACTCTGTTGCACTCGTCTCCCTGGCTTGTTACACCCTCTCTAGGTATCCTCCAAGGACGTGTAGAACAGCCTTATATCCAGGTCAACTCAATACTCAACTCCTGGAAGTTCTTGCCGATACATAATCATGAATCATATGCAGCTTGTATAGGAATCAGATGAACAATATCATGATATGTACCACACACGCTAAGATTATGAATTGTGCGTGAACTCGTGTATCTTCTCTCTTTTTTTCTCTCTGTATCTGCTTGAGGCCTCGATATGTGTTTTTATATGTATCCGCAAACCCTGACCTTCTGGGAATATACCTCTCTTATGCGCTACAGTCCAAGATCCGTAAACCACGGTGGTTCAGCGAGTTTCTTCAAATTTCACAGAGTCGTGTAGTGCAGGAAGTTTGTCGCCGATCCATCTCTAGTTGAGTCCTCGTCTTGTAGTCGTGCAGTGTCCTTGTTACTCCAGGTGTGTAGTGCGTACAAGATGGATGACCAATGCTATAACACCTACAAAGACACTGAACTACCCTAGTGCTTGTGCGTTGTCAAAAATACTGCCAACAATTAACAACATCTAACAAGAGATTACACAATGACGTCCCTAACAGTGGAAGCCAGAGATATTTGTTTGTCATAAGTTCGAAGCTACTTTTTATTGATTATCTTTTTATTTCATTAATTTTTTTATGGTTTTAGTTGTTTTTCTCATTTTCATTAGCTTTTATACCTATTTGTTTTATTTTTTCTAATGTAAGATTAAGCTTTAGAAAAGAGAAAGAGAAATGATGGAGGCAAATACTCATTTGAAAAATTTAAGAAAGATTTCAAAAAAAAATCATAAAAATAATTTCAATATTCATTTTGTTGCGCAAAATTGGTCTTCGTTAACAAGTCGTTAGCAGCTTAGAGGTAATTTAAAACTCACAAATTTTTTTAAAGTTTGGAATATTACACATTACAATGAAAAGTGAGTTTATTTTTGAAAGAACATATAAAGTTAGATTATTCAAGATTTTTTTATTTTCAATAAATTTTGTTTATAATTTGGAGATAAAATCATAGAAGCAGTTCATTCTTTATATTTTATTTTTACTCTGTTATTTCTCTCATAAATTTCTCAATTACAACTCACTTCGTCCTAAAACTTTCTCTCTAAGTGAGTACTCACTTTGTCAAAAATAAATCACTTTTTTTCTTTTACTTATTTTCGTTAGTTATTTCATATGATAATATAACTCTATCACATGTTGTTTTGTAGAACGTTTAGTGTAGTTTTTAGATATATAATTTTTAGTTTTTAAATACGCATATAACCAAATAGATTGAATTAAAATAATTTTAGTCAAATATCGTAAAATAAAGTCGGAAAAGAGGGTAACTATTAATGTACAATATTCTCCTCTTTACTTTTTGGGGTGAAATTCACAAATATTTAGGGGAGATGAATAGAATTTGTTTTTAATGCGTTTGAATTATGCAAAATTGAAGCAACCGAGGAGGAAGTATTTTCGGTACTTTACACACGACATGATAGAAAGATAAGATAGAGAAATACATTTCAAAAGGTCTCTCTCTCTCTCTCTCTCTCCTCTCTCTTCCCGGAACCCCCGAAGAGCTGTTTACCCCAACGAGTAAGTGTTCTTTCTTTTCTCTCAGAAAAATCTGGGACCTTTTCTCTCTCTCTCTCTCTCTCCCCTCTCCTCTCTCTTTCACCCCTTTGATATATATTCAAAATTTCTTCCCCACGTTTGGCTCTGCCCTGCTTTTTTCCATTTGCCTATTTCTTTTGGCTTATTCGGCAGATTCATTCGTGATTGTGTTCAGATCCGATCAATCGCGATTAGATCCGTGTTTGTATTCATTGGGACTGTAAATTTTTTCGTTGAATCGTATTGTTTGTGTGTAATTTGGCTATAATTTGCTTGAGGATTTTATTTATTTCGTTTTTAATCTCACCGTTATCCTTATGTGCTTTTTTTGATTGGGGGAAAAATTTTCGATTAGCAATGTTGAATTCTGGTATTAGCGAGTTCGAGGAATCGTTTAGTTCTGATTTTGGTATCGCTGTTCGGATCTGCATGACGCGGTGCTTTATTACTATTATGTTAGGGCTTCTTCGACTGCCGAAATTCATGGCTTTGTTTGATGTATTGATTTTAAGGTGGTTTTTGCAGTGTTAATTTATGGCCCTTTAATGCTTCTTCTAAAAGTTGGGTGAGAATTTTAATGTAGGGTTGATTTCTGTATATGTTGACTGTAGCTGTAGCTCTCCAGATGGATGATGATGGATTGAACATGAGGAACTGGGGCTATTATGAGCCAACCCATAAGGGACACCTCGGTCTCCAGTTAATGTCATCGCCAGTTGATCTAGACACAAAGCCCTTCCTTTCTGCCCGCGATAACAACAATAATCCCAATATGATAGTTAGTAATGGGCTTTTTCATCCACGGGATTCGATTGTTTCTCAGGTGCCCATATCACACATGGACTACATTAGAGATGGTTGGATAAACCACAGAGACAAATTTTTGCTTATGTTTCCCGGGAATCATTATGGTGGAATTGTGGCTGACCCTTCTGGAACTCAACCCCCTGTCCAAATGTTACAACAGCAACCTCAATCAGCCGGTAAGGATCCAAATACAAGCTCTACTACTGCTGAAGATCCAAGCGGTGATCTTTCAAAGAAGAGATCAGGACCTGATGTTTTACCACCCAAAGGAAAGAAGGCGAAGAAAGGAGGGCCATCAGCATCAATGAAAGATGTCTCCCCGCCTGGCAAACGCTCAAAACCAGCAAAGAAGACCATTGATGTTGTTATATGTGGGACTAATATGGACATATCAAGCATCCCTACTCCAGTGTGTACCTGCACCGGAACACCTCAACAGTGTTATCGGTGGGGGTGTGGGGGCTGGCAGTCAGCATGTTGCACCACAACTATATCTATGTACCCTTTGCCTATGAATAACAAAAGACGTGGAGCAAGGATTGCAGGGAGAAAGATGAGTCAGGGTGCATTCAAAAAGGTTTTGGAGAAACTTGGCATTGAAGGCTATAACTTTGATGACCCTATCGATCTTAAGACTCACTGGGCTAAGCATGGAACGAACAAGTTTGTTACAATCAGGTAATACTGTATCGATCTCCATACCAGTTCTGTCATTCCAGTCTTTCATGTTATAGATTGTATATATTTAAGTGGTATTTGTTGTTTCAGAGCGGTGATCCATAACCCTATGATACTTGAGATCAAATTCTTTTTCTTTTGCACCTAGTGTAGGAGACTTAAAGAGCATTTCTTTATTTATGTATTAGATTTTTTTGTGCTATTCTGCACTCAACTTTATCCTTTCCAGTATTGAAATTCTTGCTCATCACATACTGTTTTGGATATCAAAAATGATAGAGTGGATGTGAAACAAACTCTATTTACATGGATGCTGAACCCCAACCCCAGGTCCCCCAGTACCGGCTCTTCATTATATAGTATTCCCAGTACCCATAAATTCTGTAAAGTTCTTTTTTTCGGTTTCTCTAATGAAGTTTTCCGCTTTCCTTAAAATGCAAGAAGCTTGTGTTACCTATTGTATTTTTCTACTCCAAGTAAGCTTAAAAATTTCCATTTCTTCCCAAAAAAAAAAATCAATTTCTTAATACTTTTGTCTAAATTGTCAAAGCTCCGTTGGGATGGAGGCACTATGATATATATGTATGAAACCATCCCATTTATATTGAGATGAATGGTGGTTGATTGATGAATGAAAATTGTTCTTGACAAGAGTAACAAAGACTACATGTGGACTAAGAATAACAACGCATTTGTATACCCCGGCCAATTTGATTATAGATTGTCACCCGAATTGGGGAGGTGGGTCACTGTGGCTGGTGGGGGGGGGGTTATATGGGTGGGTTGGGGAGTGGGTTTATATGGGGTTAGGAAGGGTATGAACCATTTTGGAAACAAACAACTGTAGAATATTGAGCCAACGTTGAATTAGTAGCTTT